GGCGCCGGCTTTGCACAAGATCTTACATTTCAGATTACATCTTAATAAATTTACAGACAGCAGTGTTTCTGCTACGCTGGTATCCTATTACCGAGTTGTATTACCCTGCCACGTGCCCTCCCTCCTCATTCTCCTGCTGACCTGTACCTATTAGGACATGTTCAGTACTTGAAGTTTACTTTGTGTTTGTTTGATTCGCTCAAGAGTTTATGACACATGCCTTTAAAACACAAAAAAAGTCCAACCTTATGTGCGCAGGCCACCTGCCATGCACAACACGAGATGCACACAGCCGGGACATCAGGGTTAAAGTGACCGGAACGATTCGGATTCATGATCCGACACCGTCGATTAATTACTGAATAAATGTGATCGTTTATATTTGTGTGAAGAGCGACTGAGACGGGCAGACACACACACACCTGCAGGCATGAGAGAAGTTCTTCCCGCAGTTTATGACGCAGCGCAGTGTTTTAACTTCATTGTTGCAGAAGAAGCGATGCCCCGTTTATCCAGGAACATTAATATGAATTCAGCAGGTTTTTACAAAGATCAGTTCAACGTGTGAATGATTAGAAAAGAGCAGAGGAGCAGAGCCTCTTTTTGACCTGTGCTGTGTAATGTGCCTGGATGCATTGCCAGAGGGATCACCTGGTTACAGTAAAGAGTTTTTATCACACAAACCTTAGTGCATTGATGTGAAATAGTCAAAATAATTAGGTCACAATTGATTTTTATTATTTATTGATTTATGTATTATTATTATTATTATTACGATTATTATTTGGGGGCACCGTACAGTATGGCGTACTTGCATGATAAACCCTGTTTTCAACCTTCCAAGTTATGTAATTTCTCTTTTTTCTCTTTTATTTAAGATTCACTTGATCACCAAATTAATCTGCTTAACCATCACAGTTAAACAGGTGTGATAGGTCGACAATTACAGTGGTACTTAACACATTGAATCTCTCTCAGACTTGAACCCATGTGGTGCCATTGTTGTTGCTGACAACAATGGCACCACATGGGCTAAAATTGTCTGGAGACTTGAGAAAGAGTACTATTTAATTGAACAGCAAAGGGCAAGGGTACAATAGGATTAGCAAATAATTTTTATTAAGTCAAAATACATTAGCAAAAGTGATATATGAATTATAAATGATGGGAATTATCCAGATCTCTCCTGTAAGTCTCAGTTTTGCTAAAATAAAGTGCATGCAAGTCCCTCAGAGCTGGCAAAAGCTGTGGAAAGCCAAAGTGGAGTGTCTGTTTCATCTCACACAATAAGATGCACTAGAAGATGCACACAGAAGTTGAATGCACGGTCGTCGTCTACACAGGAAGCCACAGCTGAAGCAAAAGCACAAGAAAGCCTGTTAAGCCTTTGCTAAAGCTACGCTGTCAAAGGCGAAGACTTTTGGGAATCCACGCTCTGATCTGATGAGACCAAAGTTAATCTTCTTGAATCTGATAGTGTCCAAAATGTATGTTGTCTCAGGGTAGGGGGGGGTACAGTGAGAAGTGCATGGTCCCCACAGTGAACTAGGGTAGTAGCAAAGTGGGAATGGAAGGTTGAAGATGAGGGAGAATTGTGCTTCATTGTAAGCATCATGAATGTGTAGGTTTTTGAAAGGGAAGGTGTTTAGTGGCACTTCAACATGACAATGACCCAAAATTCTTCCAAAGTCACTCAGGCACTCGTAAGGAAGAACAAGGTGAAGAGGCCACAGTGACAAAGTATATCAGCCAACCTCAACCCTATTGAGCACTGAAGTAATTTTTTTTGTATTATGTAAATAAATTTGTTGTGGATAAGGATTTTTGTGCTTCTGCTTGAATCAGTTTAGATGCTTTTATCTTCTTTTATCCTTTTGCATTTGTCTCTCTCACTTCTGTTCCTTTCACTATTCGACCGGCTTAATATTATTTGCCAAACCCACCCCTCATGCTACTCCTTTCGGCCGATGCCGACAATGCAGGCTCTCAGAGTTCCTGGAATTTCATTAAAACGCAAGCAACACATTGATAATTAGGTGACAAAGGGGCTTTTCTTATTGTGCTCATCAGCTGTTGAGACGTAGTCCTCAGAGGCCCACACAGAAGGAGGTTGGCTGTTTGTGTGCGTCAGGACATGTCTCTTTGTTATGTCTCTGCTCTGACTCTATAATATTGATTCTAAAAACAAAAATTAGATTTCTCTCTATCAAAATATTTCCACTGTCCCTTTTTTAACTCTTAGTTTTTGAATCTTGTATGCTGAGAAGAAAAGGTCAAGTGGCTGCCGTTAACATGATGAGCTAAAACATACAGATGCTCACATAGCCATATACCTATACTCTCGGATATTAGATTCTTACTCATGATCTGCAGCATCCTTTTATCGGTGGAAATGAATTTTCACACAGAAACTCTTGCATTCTTTCCAGTTTTTTGCTCCTCTCTTGTTCCCCATTAGTCTCTCTCCTTATTCTATATCAGATGGTTCTCGAGCCACCTGAGGCACTGAACAAATAACGTAGTGCAAATGAAATTTCCTGTGAGGCTTATTGATGTTATTAAACACTAGCATTCTGAGACCCAAAATCATTTTAGTCTTCATCAGACTGGCTGACATTTTAGTGAATTAGCTATTGGAGGCAGGGTGTGTTTGGGTGTGGTGGGATTGTCTTAGCTCCTCTACCCCACCTCCTCCTCTTTCCAGGGTCAAATGGTAGAATCGATCATCTCATTTGCTCCGTCTGCTGGCCATTGATTGGTTGTCATAACGATAATACTGTCTATGTCTGGTGTGTAATGTTATTCTTGCATGTTGTTCTCTATGCAGTAAATAAAGTTAGCATTTAGTTTCTAGCATTATTCTGAGAGAGTCAAAGTTTAAATTGTCTGTGTGATAAATCATTTATGTGGGTAATGGTCTTCCACCTTTAAGTTTTGAAAGCAGTAATATTCTCTAATTGAAGCAATTTACCAAAACAGAAAGCAAAAAATTTAATTTGGAGCATGTAATTTGGGATATGAATAACATCAATATGTATTTCGGTCGACTTCTCCCAATCCATCAGATGTTTTAACTTTTTGGTACTTCCATTTTAACTGTTGTAGTATACATGTAAGCAGAGAGGGTAGAGTTTTTTTTCCTTGCCTCAATAATACAGAAGTGACATAAGAATGTCTGCAGAAATTAAGAATCATTTTGGAAAATGTTTTCATTGTGTGTATTTATATTGAAGAAATCTGTCACGAACATTGCACTTTTTATGCAAGGACGACAGGCAATATATTTTCGGATTGTCCGTCCTAGTCTTGTGAACCTTTGCCAAAAACACCTTTCGGGATTTCGGAACGTTCAGTTTCACTCAAGGACAAGCTGAGCAGATTTTGGTGGTCAAATGTCAAAGTCACTGTAACCTTACAAAACCCAATAATGGTTTTGTGAATGCAACATCTCAGGAAGGAATTTCTTAAAATTTGGTACAAAATTAAACTTTGACTCAAAGATGAACCGATTTTTGGTTTTTCAGAGATCAAGGTCATGGTGACCTCATGCCTTTGTAAACTCTCAGGAACATGTGGAACTCATTACATCTGGTACAAGCATTCATTAAGACTCAAAGATGACCTGGTCAAGGTCACTATGACGTCACAAACCCTTTTTTTGTGAACATGTTATCTCAAAGGAATCTTTTACAATGTGGCAAAAAAATTGTTAAACTCAAAGATTGAATTGATTAGATATCAGTGGTCTAAAATCTTGTTGACCTCATATGTGACTGGAAAAAAATAAATAGACTGAAACGGCACTGGTTGGGGGAAGTGTACAACCGCAGGGCGGTATTTCATTTTTATTTTTGTGCAGATGTTTGTAATTAACCAGGCCTATTAAATTTAGTGGGTAGATATCTTTTTACCTGTTATTAATTGTCAATAGAGTTTTACACTTTTAAACACATTGAGATCTGATCATCATCCAGCTCTGTGGTGTAAGACATGACAGTCCCTGGTTGATCCTTGTTTGTTTTTTGGGTTCAGCAAGTTGGTTGGTCTCTGGCTAGAGAGCGTGACTGGGGCTCGGACACGCTCTGTAGCTGTGGCGCCACCGCTGGCCTTTAGTTTCCTGATTTGGTGCGTCTGATGCTTCAAAAGCCAAACACAGTGAGACTTCACAGCAGAGCACGACAACATGTTGCTCATGTCCCCCTGTGGTCCATCCACCCGACATTGTATTGTCGCGACATGTACAGGACACAGACTCTGTCATTGTACGTGTTTGGGAAACATTATTACAGCAACAATGGCGCCAGCACAGCTCGTCGCCAGTGGCCATGTGTCCTGTCATCTGTTATCACTCTTTAACTCCTCTGGCTTTCTCTCACAACTGATCACAAATCTAAATCTGTTTCACAAAGTGCTTCTCTCTGTTCTCAGCTGAGAAGGACGCGGGGAGGAGAAAAGAAGGAAAGAAAAAAAGAAATAAGGAAAATGGAAAAGAGAGTTGTTAATGTCACTGAACCATGAAAGGCTTGGCCCGGGGTTGGAATGACTCGGTATACAAGGTTCTTTAGTGCTGTGGCTGCGGGGATAAACATAACTTACATCAGCCCTTCGCTTGTACAGGAGATTTCCTCTCCTGGCACTTACAACCTCAATGCTCGCACTGCACTGTGATGCACACACACACACACACACACACACACACACACACACACACACACACACACACGCACACGCACACACACAGACACACGGCACAATCTGGACCCTTTCAAGTAGCTCATGTACACATGCATACACACAGACCAGAGGGCACACCAGGGTTTTGAATAGTATATTTTTATTCTGTTTGCAAGCATGACAGTGGTTGCTATTACTTGTTCACACACACAAAGCTTTTGTTGGATGGATTTGTATCAGCAGCGATATAAAAACATTAATTGTATTATCAGTGTAATGTCTGACTAGGTGTGTGTGTTCTCTGTCTTTTCTCTCTCTCTCTCTAGATAATCACTCAGTATGTTTATGAGCTGTTGGAGAAAAAGTGCAACATGACTAAAGCATTCCTGCCAGTAAGTACCCCGAGTTTGAAAAGAGGCATTTTCCTCTTTCATTTACGCCCTTGAAGATTAAAGGGAGTATTATATATGAAAATTGACGTAAATTCTTCAGCTTCAGAGTGTGATTATATTGAGTCCCCTGTTTAAAAAAAAAAAAATTAAGAAAAGGGGTTTGCAAGGAGTCAGCTCTTCTCATTTCTCGATCAGTCTTTGTCTTTTCCTTTATATCTCCCTCTTTCTTTTTTACCCCCCCTCCTCTGCTCACATCCTTTGTGCAAAAGTGTCTCCTCAACAAATTAACTGTATTGTGACGTGTCATTTCAAAGGCGCAGAGGCACAGCATGCTGATGCTTAATCTGTTTTGCATTCATTTGCACGGAAGGGGACTTTCTCAGCCATCACAGAGTTATTCTTTGCCCAGCTCATCCCAGCTCAGAGCACACACTTGATCCCTTTTATTTGTTGCTGGAAGCATTTTTGTCTCTTTTTGCCTCCCTTCCATCCCTGCTCCTTTTTTTTTCTGTTCATAAAAGTTGTGATCATTTTTCAGGCTGCGTTTACAGGGATGTAAAGCAGCACTGGTGTTTAGAAGCGCAGCAGAGTTAGCTCCTGCGCTAACAGTGTCCATAAATCACTTAGCCAGGGACTCAGCGGCTTTCATTAGCCCCCATACACTTTTACTGGTTTATCTGCCTGCCCTATTTATCTCATTATTCCTCTGGAAAATTGCTCAGTTCTGCCTTTCTGCTGCCCACCCGCCTGCGAGTATATGGCATTTGTGTGTGTGTATTTGTGTGTTAGCGGTGGGTCCGTCCACCTGCACGGCATTGAACTTGTGACCACAGATTTTAAGAAGATTAACCGCAGCCAAGTATAGGGAGAGAGAATGAAGGAGCACAAGAGAATAAAGGGTAAGATTTTCTCCCCCACTCGGCTGTCTTTGTCTGCTTGGATTAAGTTCGTGCAGCTGCCACCCGTGGCTTTTATGGACAGTGTTTGTCTCCTTAGAGATTCTTCCAGGCATACTTGGTAGGGATGCAAAGACTCATGGGAGGTGGACGGAGTGCATGCACACACACAAATATACTAAAGCTCTCCCTCCGTCTTTGTAACTTTGTCCCTCAGTTTTAATCGCACAAAGGCTGTTTTCTGATCATGATAATTGATGATTCCCACTGATGCATAAAAGTTTTGTAAATTACAAAGGCCTCAGTGGAGTGGACTGTTTCTTTTTAAAGAAAAAGATTTTCAGATGATTATTTAAATCAACAGAAATTATAGCTCTAATTATAAAGTGAGATATTTATGATTTATTATTTTATCATATTTTTATTTGCTGCTGTAGAAATGGAATAAAGGCTTATTTTGATTGACATAAATGTCAGCAACACATGGTAACTAATGTTGTCCTGAACATTTAGGTGGATGCCACGGACGATGAACCCACCAGTTTTATCTACCTGAGCCCAGATGCCCTGTCCAACCCGTCCAAGCTGCAGGTGGTGATTCAGGGCAGCGGCGTAGTGCGGGCCGGTCAGTGGGCCCGTAGACTAATCATCAACCAGGACCTGGACTCAGGGACACAGATTCCCTTCATCACCAGAGCCATGGAGGTAGGACAAACTACAGAAGAAGTTCAAGCTACTCTGTTGAACTCGTTTTCTGATGTTTGATTCCAGATGTCCCGTTTTCATGTTCTCTGACTGGGTGCACTGAGGACACTGAACCTTCCCTTATACTGTTTGTTCCTTTGCAAAGAGTATATACCGTGACACATCACTGGTATGTGAGGTTGTGTGTTTCTCTGAGTGGAAAAAGTCACCACATAGTGTTACCACCATGACCACAGCGGGAATGGTGGTTGGTCTGTGGGGATATTGGTGTGACAAGTGTAATGCACATAGTTTATTTAAAGGGCAGCCCTGAATWTTTGAGGCTTTGGAAGCAGTTGTGGCACAGTCAGATACAGGGTATTGCGGTATTTTGTGTTGTGGGAGTTTTGAGTGGGATTGTGGGTATTTATTTGTGTCCCTGTGCTTTCAAACTGATTTTCTGACTCATCAACTCAAGTCAGTTTAACTTCAGTGTAAAGGAAATGTTTCCATGGTCATGTGATAAATTATATGATACTGAACAGCTTATGTATCTCGAAGTGTAAAATATTCCTGTGTCCACCTTTTTCCAAATCTGTGCCAAAATCGAATGGCTTCTTTCTTCGCCCATGTCTCATCCTTCCACCAAGTTTTGTGGAAATCCGTTCTGTAGTTTTTGTTTAAAATAACAAACCTCATTCCTCCGCCGCTGCAAGTATAGAGTTTATCACTTTACATGTAAGGGTACAGTGCTGTTTTGTCTTGTTTATGAAATGAAGCATATTCCTCAACATTAATTGCAGAAGAAAACATCCATGCCTACGTATCTATGATGCATGATTCCCATGTATTCCTGTGTATTCATGGGTGACTGAGTTTAGAAAGAGAAGGCGATAATGTAATATAAAATATAAATTTGTTTTTCTGTCCCGACACTATGCTCACACACGTGTATACACATGTGCGTCAGCAAGCGAAAAGGTGCCTCTGACTGTCTCATTCTTTTCATCCCCATCTCTCCCCTCATTTGTCAACGTGGCCACGACTACCTGTGTAATTTCATCAGCCTGCTGTTCAAATTGACTTAGGGGAGATCCTGCTCTCCCTCTCCCCCTCGTTCCCTCTTTTCGTCAATCAGAATGCCATAAAGACTTTCAGTGCTGTGTAAAGTCCCTGCCTGCCGAGTACAACAGGAGAGGTTTGGATTGTGCGTGCGCGGGCTCGTGCTCGTGCTGTCGGATGATTCAGGTTCCCCTCGAAACTCTTCCACCGTCACCCTTGCTGGCATTACAGTTGTGTTGCGGAGAGCCCAAGTGACAGCTTAGATATAGAGAACCTGGTGTGTGTGTAGAGGAAGTGCTGCTCATTCATCATCGTAAACAAGAAACCGTGTTCTTACACACTGACAAATCATCATCCAGGCATTTACCACACACAGGCCTTGTACCCTGTGTTCGCCGGAAAGACGAGCGCAGACGTTTACAGTCAATTCATCCTGTCTCCAGCTATTACGGGCATGTTTGTGGTTTGTTATGTCATAGCATGTAATTGGTGTGGATGTCTGGTGTGCGTGTGAGTTACAGCTACTCTAACATCTGCAGAGAGGTGTTGAGCTTTTGCTTGTGTTTGTATCAGACGGTTTTAAGGATTAGTTTCCCTTCAGGCATAGAGGGAGCAACTAATCAGTGATGTCCCGAGGATGATGCTGCACATTCATCAGCAGTAGCCATTATAGTTCTTCAGTGTGGTATTATAAAATGGAAAATGCTCGAGAGGAACAACACATGACTTCAAATTGAAATGTAGGTGTTGTTGTAGCTGTTCTGGGGCTGAGAGACATGATATGCTGCACGTTGCTCCCTGAACAATCACAGTTTGTAGTCTTTTACATCTTGTTTGAATTCACCAGGAAAAAAAAGTGCTTGCAACTGACTTCTGGGGGAAATGTATGTAAAAACAAAAAAAACTTTGTGATCTGAAAAGTCTCTGTTCCACAGTTCCATCTTGCGACACTGACTTAATCATTCCTCATTGGCTTTGTCATGTTTGATATCTTCTGGTGCAACTCTGTGAGCTGTGCTCCTACAGGTCAACATCACCGAGTTGACAAAACACACTTTACCAAACATGGAAGTGGTTTTGTTACGACGTCATGATGTGTCTCAAGTGCGTGTCACATTGATTATTTCTGAACCCACCTGCAAGGGCAGTTATTCTGGCTGACATTCGAATGCTGTATGTTTCTTGTAGTTTTTTACTTTGATGCAATGTTTTACTTCTTTTATTCATTTACCCTCATTAATGTATCCAATATTTAAAAACTACAAGTTACTCACTCAGACAGATACATTCTATGTCACTATTTAAAGATACTGCTTTCTGTCTATTAAACAGCACAAAAGACGAACATGCATACAGGTATTTTAGTAGGGATTCATATATTTAAATGTATTTCAGTGTTTGTAAGGAGTGCCTGACTCTTCTGTCAAGTGGCTTGCTGACTCCCAGCATGTTTCTTCTTGTAAGAAGAGATGTGCAGCAGAATTGGTGACGGCTAGATGAGGTGAAAACTTGGTGACATGTCCTCCGCTGTACCTTGTGAGAGGAAGCAAGCAGAGACACCATTGTTGTTATTGTGGTTGTACAGCCAACCGCATCTGTGTTCTGAAATCTTTACCACAAGGCAGTTTCATTTCATGGAACTAGTGTAGAAACCACTCAACAGGAAACTATGTGGCATCACTGTCTGTCTCTCTCCACCTACACATATAAGCCACAGTTGAATTACAATTCAAACTTTACAATGACTTGACCAAAGCAATTCATGACTAACTGAGGAGGAGGTTGATTAACCAAAAAGAAGAATAACCACTTGCTGTAATATACTGATTTACAGTGTTGACATACTGCAATGTGAGACAAAAAGTGGAAAAGTCCATTAACCAAACTGTCATCGATATGATTCTTCAAGGTTAAGTGTGAGAACTTTTGTAAATGAGCCATTCCAACATTCAGATTCTATATAAAAGCAACATTTTTGATTTACAAATTGATTCAAGTGCAGTCTTGGGTAAAATGTTTTCCTTTTTTCCCCCAAGTGCAGCTCATGTGAAGTTACTCACAGGAACTTGTTTGGAAATTCAAAGCCTGAAGCAAAGGGTCAACTGGAGTGCAATCGGGGAAATATGGTGGGCGCTTGTGGCTTTGCAAGACAAACACACTCACACAACAGATCATTTGACTCAGTGCAAATGTACATCTGTCGTGTGTGTGTGTGCATGTGGTGTTAGTCTATGGTGTGTGGGCTCTAAAGGTTCTTAGCCATGTTCTTTAAAGGCTTGAGTCAGCCTTTCCTCTCTTCCAGCGGGATCACTGCTGCTAATCAGGGGGATTGTGGGAAAAATATCTGATTGTACTAGC